AGCATCTAAAGGAGCAATATTAGAATGTTTTATAAAAATTGAAAGCATTTCCACAGCAATTAAAAAAAGAAACGGGGAGTACTTGTTTCACTATTCCGCGTTCTATAGTAAAACGAGGCGAGGTACCGCCTGGTAAGGAGACAGAGCTGTTTTGTGTCCTTATAAAGAGATTCATTAATATGTTGAAAATTATGGACCAAAGCCTAAAAATTTTAAGCAGTTAAAGATAAACGGATGTTCAATGGAATCAAAAGCTTTATAGAAGTCGAGAAACAAAATAAAGCCATCATCTTTTATCAAATGGTTATAATCTAGGAGATCAAGTACTAAGCGAATATTATTGTGAATGGATCTTTTCTGGATAAACCAGATTGGGATTCACTAATAATTTTATGCAAATTTGATTTTAGCCTGTTGGCATAAATTAGGGTAAGAATTTTGTAGTCAGTGTTTGCATAAGGAGGACTCTTGGAATCCGACCAGACCTCGGCGCCGCGCTATGACCTAATCGGCCTTCGAATCCGGCCTTCTAAGGACGCGTCCAATAAAACACCAGCAATGTTGGATACTGCACAGTGTAATATTTTCTCAATGGAGACGAATGTTCGTGTATTCATGTAAACTGTGCAATTGTTGAATAAAAAATAAAAAATAAAAAAAGGACGCGTCCAAGGATTTCTAACAGAGCATGCAGTCTGTCCCTCTGCTTGGTTTTCAGTGTCACAGCTGAAGGTGAACTCAAACGTTTAAGAAAAAGTTACATTCTGGTTGAAAAAGCTTGCCTTATTTTTTAATTGGGTCCTAACAAAGTAGAAAAGATACCAACCCAATTTATTTTACTACCTGAAAAATAAATAAATAAATTAAATATTCTATATCTATACATGTCTATAACACCTTTGAATTAGGAAGCCTTTAGCATATTTTGACAATGCGCTTCCATTGGTTGATTAGCTGTCAGTAGGTGTGGCTGGAGCTGAAACATCCTAAGCTGATTACTGTTGGATTTAATCAGCATTAATCCATGATGCAGAAATGGGTTATAATCTTTCTAATCAACTGTGGCATGAAAATACCTTGATGAACATAAATCAGGAGATACAATTAAGCATAAGAGTAAAATTTCCATGTAAGCTTAAGTGGTTCAGTTCTGGAAAGTCAGATTGACATATAACTAAAAAAACCTAACAGTCCCAAATACAATTCACAGAACAAAAAGTATATTGAACTGTTAATACATGTGGCCTTTTTAACAGAAAACAAAAAAAATATATATTTTCAAATCAAACTTAATTAGATTTGATTGGATTTTTCTTTTTAACTTAATAGTCTGAGTTAAAAAAAATCCCTCAAATAATTTCAGTTCAGCTATTTTATTAAGTTTTAGTGTGACCCAAAGATGTGAAAACGTTTATTTTTCGTAGATGAGGCGTAAAATGAGTCTAGTTTCAATATATTAGATGGTTCCAAAAGTGTGCAATGAGCCCCTCACTCAGCCACCATGACAGGATCAGGATGGAAACCCAAACAAAGAGGCAGTCTTGGTTCTCAACAGCATGGATGAGCGGCCATTTCAGCTCCAAGATGCAAACACTGCTACAAAATAACATTCACGTAAAGGTGGGAAAAACATACTTATATATTAAAATTACCTTTTATTTTGAAAGCTATGAAAACAATTATTTCTCTTTTATTTTGAAACTAAATTTGAGAAGTATTTTAGAAAAATAATGGTAAATAAGTTTTCCCTTTTCATAGAATAAGATAAGTTTATTGATCTAACAGTGGAAAAATTAACATCAGCTCCATAGGCAAAAGAAGGAAAAAGAAACCGCTAAAACCACTATTATTACCATTTGCCTTTATCATTGCAAACATTTATTTTTGGTTTATAAAGGTAAAATATGCTTTTCTCAGCTCTGTATTTGAATTTATATTTGATACTAATTTGGGCAGAATTTTTGATATTTCCTAATTAACAGAAAGCCGTAAAAATATCTTTATTATTAAGATGACTACATCATTTTAACATTTATTAGGAACATAACACATCATATATGAGCATTTTTGACTCCACCTTAACGGGGGATAGAGAATCAAACGATGGTAAAAACAATTGAATTCTTTTGGCCAAATTTTTCACACATAAATGTCGATTTCAAAAAATTACCCAGTCGTTCAATATTTTTATAAGTGAGATATTTTTATTAAAAGAAGTACTAACCCATTCTAAAAACCCTAGAGCCCAATCAATGATGCAATATATTGAGAATTTACTTTAAATACAAGAGTCCTTTTGTGTTTTGTTTTTCTTCTTTTCTTTTTAATTACTTTGTTCTACAATCTGATAGTTTTTTTTTCTAATTGTATATAGGTTCTCTGTATGCTTCTTAAGATAATTTACAATTTTGTATAATTGTTTTGATATGCCTTGTAATATTTTGATTCTTCAATAAAAAAAAAATAATAATAATAAAAAACAAATTGACTCCGCCTTTTCGGGTCACGTGAGTAGAGGGGTGTTCGGGTGGAGTTATCGAGCGCTCCTCCTCCAGCAGCTGCAGCAGCTAGCTAGCTTCTGCTCCTCTATCGGGTTTGTTTATGGTTCTGTTCGATTCGGTGTCGGTGTCAGTAGGTTCTGGAAATATCAGACACTGTTCTAGCTGAATATATGAGGACTGGCAGTTAGACAGGAGGCTCGGTTCTGTTAGCTGTGTAGTATTAGCCGGGGCAGCAAATCCTACGGTCTAATCAATCGAAGTTCTGCCGAACCGAACCGAACCCAGCCTGCTGGATGGACGAAGCGCTCCGGTGCTGAACGAACCGGACTACAGGATGAGCTAACTTGTTAAAAACGAGTCCGAACAGCAGAACGAGTCCCTGCCTTCCCATGATCACCATGGAGCCCAGCCTCCAACCGAACCTGGAGCCCAGCCTCCAGCCGAACCTCCAGGAGGGCTCCTACAAAAGTGAGTACGTGCTGAACTGTGACCCAGTTTTGCTGAACCGCTGATTTCCCTGTGACCTCTAACCTGCAGTGACGGAGGAGGACGTGAAGAGGCTGATCCAGTTCCGGGCCTCAAACGAGGTTCTGTTCACTGGGAAGAGGAACTCTGCTAAGATCGCCTGGAGGTGAGAAGCTGCCTCAGGGTTAGGCCATGTTGGACCGGCTGAAGCTCCCAGGCTGGTTGGTTCTGGTTGGGTCAGAGTTCTGAGGTGTGTTTGGGTTGAAGTAGTTGACCTGATCCAGTTTCATTTGGTCCAGTCTGAGGAAACATCTCAGCTGGCTTTGGTTCTGTGTTCCAGTTTAAGGTTTGGAAGGTTCTGGTCTTTGGTTCGGGTCAGACAGGTTTAGTGTTCTGAGTTTCATGGACACTGAATTAATGACTGACCTGGACTCATCTGGACTTTATTGAACCAGATCAGCTGGTTCTGCTGTTTTTAACCTGAAGAACTGCAAACAGACATCTGATGTTTGAGTATTAGGGCCAGCCTAGAGATTTATTTTATTTTCTATCTTGAGAATAAAGTTGTAACATTACAAGAAAAAAGCAATATTGCAAGAATAAAGTCGTAACTTAACGAGAATAAAGTCGTAATGTTACAAGAATAAAGTCGTAATGTTACAAGAATAAAGTCGTAGCATTGCAAGAATAAAGTTTTAACATTACGAGAGTAACGTTGTAAAATTACGAGATTGAAGTCATCATACAACAACATGTTTCAGAAATAAAGCTTGGAGCTCTGACCAGCATATAACGGCTGACCAGCTCCACCAACCAGCAACCTGAGTTCACTTTGACCTGCTGCCCAATTAGATGCTGGTGCTAAAACATTTCCTCATTTGTCAAACCAGAGCCAAAGCATAACTTCACATGATGCTCCACATTCCTCATTTTAGGGAAGAAAGTGCTACTTGAAGGAGTTCTAATTAAATACAACTTGTTTGTCGTAATTTTAAGACATTGTTCTTATAATTTTGTGACTATTCCCGTTGTGGCTTCTTTCTCGTAATGTTACGACTTTATTCTCGTAATCTTACAACTTTATTCTCGAAATGTTACGACTTTATTCTCGTAATCTTAAAACTTTATTCTCATAATCTTACAACTTTATTCTCGTAATGTTACGACTTTATTCTTGTGATTTTACGACTTTATTCACGTAATTTTGTGAATATTCTCGTTGGGACTTTATTCTCGTAATTCTATGACTTTATTCTCGAAATAGAAGAGAGAGAAAAATCTCTAACGATGCCCTAATACTCCGTCGCTCTTTTTGAACCCGGAGGAGCAGGAAGTAAAGCTTCCTGGAAGTCCAGGAAGCTCCTTCATCTCCATTAACATTGCTTCTCACTTCCTGCTGTCTTCCCTTCCTGTGACCCAGATTGTCCGACACAAAGTGATGACAGCGATGTGTTATCATCGGTGCCGATGTTGGTCCATTTTAAACGTATATCTGTTCTGGATTCATGAATGAAACCGGGCCGATATTAACAACAATGTGTGATTTAGGAAAAAGCATTTTGTTTTTTTGTTGATCATCGGTCGGTTTTGATGCTGAAGCAGGATTATGAAGGCTTGACTCCTGCATGTCTGCATCTATACATAATGATATAAAATAATTTAATGTGTTTGTCTTTAATTGGAAGCAAAAATGTAGTAAATTTGCAACAGCAGCCACAACAGTAAACGTATACATAAAAGTCACACAGTAATAACACTGTAATACGCAGATTTTATCTGGAGGAAATAAGAACACGTCACATTTTTGACCTTCTAACAGCAAATAACATTTACCTTGGTGCAGATGCAATAGAATAGAAAAGAAAAAAAAAGGAAAACCTAAAAAAAAGGAAAAAAAAAAAAAGAAAAAGGAAAAAAACAAAAAAAAAAAAACGGAACGGAAAAGGCCTTAAAAAAAAAAAAAACGGGCAACAGGAGAATAAATAAACAGTATACAGCTATGGACATTTTTACAGTAAAGCAGGGATTTGCAAACCAGGTATAATGATGTACAGAGAGCTCAGTAAGAAAACTGACATTTACCTCAGTATCTTATATTTATAAAGATAATTGAAATGAACAATTCAAAATAACTGGTCTTTACTAAAAAATCCTTCTTGAAGGCTGTTTTTATCTCTTTAGGACTTAGCATTAGCAAAATGGCCTCAATTTAGTTATTTTACATCAGATCATCTCAAAACATTGGATTTAGACAGAATAATTAAATAAGCAAGTGGGTGTTTTTATCTTAGCACCACTTTCTTTTTATTAAAAGAATAGCTAATTATTTTTTTTACTGGTTTCACTTTTTTAGAGGCTCTTGTGTGAGTTAAAAATATGTCCGTCAGAGACCAGTCCTGCTAGAAACAAGTGTTATCCGAAGGTTCCTTCGGTTGCACCGAATCAGTAAAATTACATCAGATTCAATCCAGAATTTTAGGTTTATTCATGGGCATTCCAAAAAAAAGGAAATAAAAAAAACAATCCACTGGACTTTTTATCCAAGTTTGAAGATGTTTTGCTTCCCATCCAGGAAGCTTTCTCAATTCAAAATGTCAGGAATAGTGATGAGTTCGAGGTTTTATACAGCAGCCCAACAAAGCCTTGTTTTTGTTTTGAAAATATGCAAAATGAAACAGACGAAACAGGCTCCACCCCTTTGGGAGGGAAGTCGTTTGGCTTCGTTTATTAGCCTGCAATGCCGTTTCCTTTTTTTGAAATGACTATGATCTGGATGGCTGAGACTCTTCAACAGTTTATTCATAGGATTGTGGTCGTCGATGAAACTGGAAACCTTGAGTAATGATGGATATAAACTGATTACATATGAGTAAAAAACACGGAATCCAGAGTTCTTATTTTAAATCCTCCTGTTGAACATTTGCTCATTGGCTGCCTGGTCGCCTCCATCTGATGCTGCTTCCTGTTTCTATCCTCCCTCACATGCCGAGGCCCTAAACTCCACAATCTGGTGTCGTTTCTGTCGTTCCTCAGCACCATCCTGAAGGGTCTGGGTCTGGAAGGGAAGCTGACGGCCGACCAGATAGCCAAAAAATGGGACAACCTGCGGACCAAATACAAGGTGGGTGGAAACAGAATGATGGCGCCCAGAAGTTCAAAACCTTTCAAATTCCTGGACATTAAAAGTCGGGGATTCCCACTGAGTCAGTGAAGGTTTTCCCACAACATTGTGTCTCCAACCAGAGAGGTTTTACCTCCTTTGTCATCTAGTCCAAGGAATAAACAACAAACTCAGACTTTTAGTACAAAGAGAAGAAAAACTTAAAGGTGAAGTTGAATGGTGACAAACTGGTGTCTGAGCAGTCACCGTTTTAAATCGACTAAAGACCAGAACACAACAAATCCGATCAAAATCTATTAACTCTGACTGTGGTGGGGCCTACTAAACATTAGCCAATCCACTTTGCCTAATGTCGAGAGTGGATTGGCTACTTGTTT